ATTAGCACAGTTCATGCATCTCTGACTTCATGCTACTAAGCATACACATCTATGTTCACATGTGTGTGTTCTCTTGGGATAGAGGTCACTACCTGGGAATCTACAAACTGCACATTTTTAAAAATGCCATTAATCTTTCTCATGTCCCTCTCAGACATTGTTTAATGCATCGCAGAACCTATTTGAGAGTTAAATTAGTTATCATTTTATTTCTCAGCGAAAGGGAGATTGACTGAAGGAAACAAAAAACAAATTCCACTTTATGTGATGTCATGATCCACACATCATCTTGGCTTTGAAAGATTAGTCTGTTTGTCTCTCGATACTAAGTAGCTCTGAACATATAAGTGTTCCTAAGAAAATACTTGTTATTGTCTTTTTCGTTACTTGTTATGTTTTTAATGATTGCTGAAAGAGAATCTGGGCCACTTTACTCATAAATGATGTTACCCAGCTGACGGAAGTTAAGGGTGGTCATAAATATATTAAGTTTAATCAATGTCTATACTTCCAAATTTTAACAGTGTGTATTCTCACTTCTGGACAATTGGTAATTCTTTGCATAGTTAATTTTTTAATGTAATTTTGAGGCCTTTGTACCTCATCTGTTTTCTTTATTTTGATGATGCATTTTTATGTTATGCAGTCTTAAAATTTTAAATGGGTGACCAGACATGGCCATGATTACTATTGAAGGCATATGCTCTGCAAGGATTACTGCAAACCTCACTCCCTAGTTCTGCAGACGTAGAAAAGGTCTAGAAAACGTCCTCGGTGATGTAACCCTGTAAGCATAAAGTATTCTACACTTCTAAAGTGACTCCTTAAGAACTGTTTCTCCTTATTCTTAAAACTGGATTCTTTGAGAGTTAGATGAAGGGAAGCTACATTGAGAAACTTACTGCCATCAAAACCCCAGTTACAATAAACTGTTCGTTCTACACTTTATCCTGTCTCTCTTTATTCTGTTTTAAAATGTTATGTTTTTAACATAATTTACTCTATTGAAAAAAATGCCCTAATTATTTGTAACACATACTGCTTTTTAACAAAACACTTTGATAAACTATAAAATAGGAAACAGTCACTTGAAAATTTTAAGCCAGAAGTAAAAACATCTTTTGCATATGTTTTATTAATAAATAAACCTATGGTCATGATTTTACATGCTGTCTTTGCTGAAATCTTAACTCTTTAGTGTTGTGTTTGTTTACAATTCTATGTATACATTCCTCACTCTTTATCCCAAGAATATAATCCACTCTCTTGTATTTGACATTTAATTAAATATATCTGTGCTCTTCCTACTCCCTGAAAGGTTTGATATATCATTGACAATAACATTTGAAAATGTGACTGACACAGATTTTAATTAGAAATAGAGAATTAAAGGTCGATTAGTAGCGTAAGCAGGTTTTCCTCATTTTTTTCTGTTGCAGGTTTTGGTTACTTTTAAAGAAAAAGAAATCTCTGAACAATAAGGGGAGTGGACTGCGTAGAGTCAGACACTATTGCAGCATGTGGCTTATTCATTTATATGTTTTTTTGACACAGAAAGCTTTGACCTCTTAGCCTGTGGTCCTTGGGAATTTTAGATAAACCCCACTGGGGTCACACTTGCAGCTCTGGCTTCGCGTGACAGAAAGCACTCTGTATGTAGCGTCTACGAAGCTACTGCACTGTTTTCCTTCAGGACTGGAAGGTCCTTTAAGTTAATTTGGCATTTGGAAGCACAACCGGAATCCTTCCTCTCTGAAAATCCTCTGGATGGGTTTCAGAAGGGCAAGCAGAGATCACGGGCCACATGATGTCGCTGACTTTAGGATGCTAGAGAAAACTGTGCTGAGACCAAGCATGCTGTCTCTGGATTATTCTTCCAGGCCTCACCAGCAGGTTTTCTTTTGCTTTTTTGAGAAACTTTTTTTTTTCAGTTTTGAAAGGATTAAGAATTTCCCCTTTTAGTGGACAGATGTGCTGGCTAGAGAATTTTTAAATCTCCATTTCTTTATGATATTTATGTTTGAAGGGCAGTTACATAGAAAAGCGTTTAAGTTACATGCAACAATAATTTGATTTTATTGTTTGCTTTTGAGCAGGCCATTGACACTTAATTTCTATGAGGAAATACATCGAATAAAGTGAAGTGGTGTTATAATTTGGAAATAATTACGAGTACCGCTTTTTCTGGCAAAAAGATTAAGGCAATTTTAGTTAATGCTTCTACCCAACTCAGCATTCTAAGTTTACGTTTGAATTGGACCACTTGATCACAGATGATGCTCGAAACGTGTGATATCTTGACGTAGGGAAGAAGAAAGGGGATTTTACAAATGCCCCTGGTGTGTTTTAGATTCCGAAAAAGTGAATGCCAACTATCACATTATCAACGCTTGGGGTCTTATGAGAGTTTTGCTTGTTTACTGTAGCATTAATCAATGACACTATGCAGAAGCTGCTAGCATATCTGTCTACAGGGCTGGTGCAGTTCAATGAGGGAATGCATTTTCCTCAAGGTTTGGGGTGGGACATAAGCTAGAATAATACCTGTCTTCTAAGGTAGGTCCTAAGGATGCGATTTGGCACGGATTTTCAGTCTTTCTGGCGTGACAGTTGCACTGGGTGAAAATATTCAGAGTGATCAGTAAGGTTTACTTCTGTCTTTCATGTCTAGGAAAATATAGCACTGGATGTTTGCTTTTTGTGTGTTTTGTCTCCAAGCAGAGGAAACTGACAGTTTTATGTTTTAAGTGCAGAAAGTTGTTCTTGGCTAAGCAACCCTAGAGTTAATCACAGGGATGTTGACTTGAATTTTTGTCTTTAAAAAGTTTCTGATTTTTTTCAGACGAAATGTGCTGTTGTTATTACCAAAGTGGCATCTTACCCTTCTAGGTTGACTTTTAGTTAAATGTTTGCTTAAATGTTCTTTCTTGAAGTTCTACTTTCAAAGTACAGACTTTTTGTTGTTGTTGTTTGTTATTTTCTCTTCTTTAAAGCTTTTTGGGAGAGGAAATATTTAATCTTTTTAGCACGTTTTCGTTTTTGTGTGGTAGATTGCTCGTCCTCTGTGCTTTCCTGCAAAATGCAAACTGATTTTACATGCATTTTGTGTTTCTTTTTTTTTTCCTGTCATATTATCTTTTAAAAACCTCTGATGCAGGAGACATCCAGGAATCGGGAAGCTCAGCTCCCAAACCACACCCTAGCAGATATTTTGATCCTTTGTAAGGGGTCCCTCCAGGGAGAAATCCTTTCCCGTGTCATCTCACACTTCGCTTTTCTACTTCAGAAAAGAGGGATTTGGAAAAGTCGTGTTATTAATCACTAAAGTTGACTGAAAACGGAGAGTGGTGTAAAGGAACGTGCCACTTGCTTGAGGAGCAATTACATTTTATATTTCTGGATTAAATTTTTGATTGGGGGAAAACAAACTTTAACCAACGTTGAATGTTATTTAAGAACAATCTATGGAATTCTCCCAAATGAAAAGAAATTATGAAACACCATCAGTGACTCAGGTTGGAATTACCTCCATACAGAGCCGAGACTTTCTTGTGACATATTTTAGTGGGAGGATGTTTTAAGTATAAAGAAAAGTCCCTCTGTTTACACCTGCATTTTTTTTCCTAACTACTTTACTGAAGAGGATGGGCTTTCTTAATGTACAGTTATGTACATAAATAAGGCTGAGACCATAGGGAAATGACAGCCCTAATTTATTTGTAAGGAAAAAATTCATTTGTAATAGATGTCCTGCTTCCAAAAGAGGGAGACACCAAGTTGTAAAGTCAAGCTCCTGTAAGCTGTTCCCTGGAAGGAGGGATCGACCCTAGAGACCACACTGTTTGATTCTCAGTGAAGTGTGTTTAGCAGTCCTTTGGTGTCTTCACTGGTGGGAATGGAAATGCGTCAAGCAGCCACCTCCTCTTTCGTCCGCTGTGATGTCAGGCAAGAATTTAGTTAGAGCTTTGCAGTGGGGCCGCAACAGCTTTGTGGAATTAGGACACTGTGAGGATCCCCTGTCATGTTTTATGTGTTATTTGGAAACTGCAATTTGAAATTTGAATGATAATAATGAAGTCAGACTCTTATTTTTAGATTTAACTTGAAGCCAGTAGTTGCAGATAGTGAAACATTTTACAGGCTCTTTTCATCTTTTCCTACGCAGAAGAAAATGGGGATTGACTTCTCTAAGTAGCACTGTAGAAATTGTACGTTGACCTGACTTTGACAAAATGGGATATGTTAAAGATATTTGCTAAACTTCAGGGACGAGCAGAATGTGTATTTTCAACAGATTTACAATAGGGGAGTCGCTTAATAAAGCGAACTGGCAGTCGGATGACTTAAATCGCCTGAGGTGACATGCAGGGCCAGCTCTATCCTCTGCCTGAATTATCTTTGTTCTATGATTCCTCTCTCTAACTTCTTCCCCATCTCTTTTACTGGGGAATGCCGTACATATGCAGAGTGTACGGGCTTCCAATTTCCTCACAAGGCAGAATAGTACTGTAGGTGTGTGATTTTTTTTTTAGTAGCTTTTATGTAGAAGTTGACTCTGACCAGAGAAAGGTCCCTTTCCTAATGGCAGGACTTCCCTAAGTTTGTCAGTCAGGGACCTGCTGTGCTCTTTCTTGATTTTTGTTTTGTAATTCATGTATATTCAGAAAGAGCATGAGGTCCTATATCACTGTGAAACACAGAAACTACTTAAATTATGATTCCAATGTAGCTGTTCTCATCTTGCTCTACAAAGGATAAAACGGAAGGCATAATAACAGGTTTGCCCCTGCTTTGCTTAAAGAATGATCACCATAATAAACATAAGCAAAGCAGTAGACAATTTCTGGGTTTATTTGAAGACTTTGACTAATATTTAAGATTACTTAGTCTTTAGTTTCCCTCCACAGATGGGTATGAGAATAGAATCAAAGTGCCATTTAGTTTATCAATGGTATGCAGCAAGAATTAGGTGACCACATACTGAATTCATTGATACATCTCTTTATTGCAATGCCTTTGAAGATACAGGACTCAGAGGAGTCCAGAAGTTATCCCGCGTCAGAGTTTCTGCGGAACATCTAGGTATAGGGTTCCTTTTTCATCAGCGTCATGATGTGAACCTCCTTAGATTTACTGACCTAAAATCCAGGTAGACGGAAAAATTAGTTATGACATGGTCATTAAAAAGAATAAAGTTTCTGCTATCTTCACTTTAGTTTAAAATACCTTCAACATTTATCGATATAAAACCCACTGAAAGCAATGGTATAGTGGAAATAGGACTTTTAATCTTTGTATAATAAACCAGAGCATCTTTGAGATGGGCCTGAAAAATGAGGCTAGTTCATTTCAGTGTGATTAAGAAATTTTCTGCAGCATTTTATTCAACTCTCTTAGAGTGTATAGAAACAATTTAGAAAAAAAAAAGGAAAAATATTATAATAAATGCTGTCCCGCTTTGTCCTGGCCATTGAATGAAAGATATTTCAGCTTCAACTCTGCCAAAATGAAATGTTTAAGTTATAGATGTATTGCCTGTAATGATTTATTTTATTGCTTCTATACTTAGTGTATTTAGCCATGATTTGGATTTAAAACATGGATATAATTATTTTTTTCTTAATCAAGTCATTTCTTTTGGTGTGTTTGAAGTACAGATTTTTTTTTACAAATTTATGAGGTATAATCAAACCCTAAGTTCCTTGGTTTTGTTTAGAGTTTATTTCTAAATTCAATTCTGTTCCTCATAAGAGAAGACCACAGGTTGGTTATAGCTGCAGTGTTACTGTCCTGGCTTAAAAACAAAACAAAACAACAACAATAACAACAAAAAATGATGCTGAATGCCACGAAGTAAGAAATTGACTTGACATTCCTGGCTCAATGGCAGACAGCTCCAGTAATGGCTGTACAAGAAGCAGGAGGAGCTTCCAGGCTCAAGACTTGAGCTGGGCTGGTCCAGGATGAGCTTCTGAATCCCCTTTCTCTTGCTTGCAGTGGGAAGAAGATGGATGCTTAGAAAGCATTCTCAAGGCTTTTCTTTGCTTTGTGTCTTAGCCAGATGGCAGGTGGTTATTATTTTATTATTGTTTCCTCCCCTCATTTCGGTTTTGTTTTCCTCCCTCCTTGATGTTTCTTTCAGGTGAAAGCTTTTATGAATAATTTATCAACAGGTATCCCTTTAAAACGAAGCAGTCTCCCAGTGGAAAGCAATCACCTTTTTCTGGATAGAAATTATCAATTAAGTCATGATGCAATGGGGTGGTTTAAACGTCGTTCTTCTAAAATAAATGGAAGCGTCACTGTGAGGGTGGCTTGGTACCAGCCCTCCTTCTTGCTGTGGAGAGCATGCTATCATACCGTCTGAACGACTAAATCTTCTTCTTCTGTTACCTAGTCATCAAGTTTTCCTCCCCTTTTCATTTATTACCTCTGTATAGTTGAGTTTGCTATTTTACTCTGACTTTAAATCATAATTTCAGTATGTACCTGATACAGTTAGAGCCAAAAAAGGTAAATGCCTGCCTTCTCCACGTTCTTCTTAGTGATTTTCTTAATGTCATCCTAAGTGTGTTTCTCCAATTGATTTCCCCTCTATCTATCAAGCACCTATGTTTCTTCTCTTACTCGAGGACACGTCATAGCGGGTTATTGCACTTTCTTCAGGGATTTGCTTTTGCAATAAGGCGTATGCTTGAGCACTTTTGCTTCTCCTGGGTCACAGTTATGCTAATGTATTCACTTCCCGAAGTAAATTCCTTTTCAGGCAGTCTTCAAACTATTTCATCCTTGTTCTCATGACACATATTTGTGAACAAAGACTATCTTAGATGTTTTATAGAAGGCAGTTAAATGGGTTATAATCTGGTTCTCGTTGTTTATGGAGCTTTCTTGGAATGTAGGAAAAGTCTAAGTACAGCTTTGTAGGTAGTCTACGGCTAATGAAGCTGGGAAATAGGTTAGGACATTTGCAGGATGGAGCCTAGGTAAGTAACATCTAATACTGAATATAATTCCTTGGTTGGTTTCAAAAAAATTCCAGTAAAGGTGAAAGGCTACTTTTAATTCATTTCTGGATGGATTCCATCTTATTCACGTGAGTTAAAAATGTTACTTTCTGAGACTTACCGATTCCAATGTTTCAAATCCAGTGTGGAATCCAGTCTCTCCATTGTTTCTTTACAGATTAAAGATAAACCGAACCACCTAGAAAAATAAGATGAGACTGGAGAACATATCAGATGCCCGAATTTGGTTCTCTTTTGCTGTAAATCAGCAGAATGAGTGTACCAGGTCTCCTGGTTTCTTGACAGTGCTGTCCTGAAATCACTAGCGGCCTTGCAGGAGCTGAGCCCCAGTGGAGTTTCCATCTGATCTCAGTGATCAGATGTGTCTGCTTAGCCAGCCATCCTCGCCTGTGTTTCTCTGGGCTCGGCTACCGGGGCTTTCCAGTTCTGCCACCCTTCTAGTCTGCCCTTGATTTTTTTCCCCTAAATGTCTGTTCCTTTCTTTGAAGATTTTATGCTTCCAGTTTTTCATATGAATGAAATAATCCCAGATTCTTACCTTTAGTTCCATCCAAGGCCATCAGCCTCTAGCTTCCACTAAGACTTGCTTATATCCTTGTTTCTCTTTATTGCTCCTACATTGAGGACCCTCTATAGGCTTCCAGTTTGCCAGTTCTACATGTCCTCAGTGGAGGGCTACCTGGTTCCAGAGCATTCTCAAAGATCCACTTGGTAACGCTTTTCTGTCTTTATGACGTACCCTTTATCCAGCCTTTCCTCTAGCAATCCTTCAGTTCCTCCTGAGGCCTTCTGTTCACTTAGGGGAAGCCCCCCCTAAACTGGACTACATGTCTGTTAAGCACCCCCAAACTGGGCTACACCTCTAGCACTAGTGTAGCTCAAACAAGAATCATCTTGGCATTGTAAACCTGAGGAAACTGAGGCTAAACCCAAACCATCCCAGAAGTTTTTTTGAAAATGTTGTATTAAGTGGGTACTTGAGAAAGAATATTTCAGTTTTTCTTTAATCCAGAAAAGTGTAGGGCTTGCTTCCTGAGGTTGAGAAAATTGTGAAATTGTATTGTCAGGTTTCAGAGAGGGAAGGGGTTATATAGTGCTACATAATTAATAGACTCTCCTTGAAATTCGCCCTGATGATTTGTTCCTAAAGTATAATAGCACTGGTTACAGCTTAGGATGCTGTGTTTTACAGTGCCCTTTCAAATCCTTCATTTTAATGACTAATGCTACCCAACCAAGCAAAACTGTCTTCAGAAAACTCAGGTACGGGGAAGCTCTGAGACACAGAGAAATTGCTGAAAAGCAGGACCTAGGACTGCTTTACTGTGTTTGACGGGTACTGTCTTTGAGACACTGGTGTACTCGAAGATTCAAGATGATAAATGAATGAATTACTCTCAAAATGATGAGGGTAATGATGTTAGTCTCCACAGTGAAGAGTCAGATATGTGGATTTGGACTTTCTCATGGTGAATTCTCTTCCAGTCCAAATATTGTGTCATGTCATTTAAGGATGGTGGTTTTTGCTTCTGTGTCACAGTGATAGCCCTCTGTAAACAGGTCCAATGCCTGGGTGCTAAGGAAGCAATGATGACGACGTACACCCTCAGAAGACAGACAAGGGTTAGTGATGAGTAGGGTCCATTAGGCCAGAGGAGAAACACAGCTATCACTGTGTAAGATGCCCAGGTTCTGGCAGGAAGTTCCCTCTGCTTTTAAAAATACCTATGTCTTCCCAAGAAATGACCAAGAAAGTGTCAAGTGATTATAGATAATGCAGCATTTTCATGCTTGAATAAGAGTAGCCAAGACTTCTGAATATGTGATGCTTACTAATCACTGTTAGTTCCATCTTAACCTCAAGGAATCATGCACAACTAATTTTTGCAGACTGGATCCTGTTCTTTTTGAAGTAATTTCATTTCTTTTTAACGACAACACTTCTTTTATCTGAAAATTGGGAAGTCCCTTGAATTAAATTTATGACTCTACTCGTTATTTAGATACTAATCATCTCTGGAAAATTATTAAGGGATACTTCTATTATATAATCCCGACCCCTATGGGAGGCCGGTTGTGAGGGTTGCTATCAAGGAGTGGATCTACCAGTGAACTTTGAAGCTCCTGTGGCTGACTCACTTGTAGGATTCCTATTCCTCTGTGTTCGCTTCTTCCTTAGAAACCAAACATTCCAGAGCTTCCCAGGAACCTTAGCTAATTGCATTTTTCAAGTGTACTTTTGTGATGTCACTTTTATTTATCAGCGACTTTACAGATCCTTTGAAGGAGACATTTGGATTTGCTGGCATCGTGTCTGCCTGTATTTTGCACTCCTTAAGCAACAGTAGGAATTCCGAGTCCTACCAAAAAGTGCGTTCCGGTTAATAAGTAGGGGCTTTCAAACCCTCTGTGCTTTTCCACAACTGGAGGGGTGCATACTTTTGGTTACAAGCAAGTAGGCAAAATTTAGCCCTGCTGTTCTGGTAGCCTTGGTGGCTTACAAAAAAAAAAAAAAAAAAAATCCCTTCATTGCCATTTCATAATCTCTGACATGGGCTGTCCAGCTCTCCTGTCTGCTAAAAGCAGAAAAGAGGAAGGAGATGTATGTGTTGGCTCCATTAAAGTGTCCCTTATCATCGTGTCTGTAGGAGTGGATCTTGCTGCTGAGAAATGCCTCTCTTTGCCAGCTGCACGGCATGTGTGTTGGGCTAGTTTCCTGTCTGCCAAAGCTGTGTGGTGCCCTTTAATGATGGGAAGGAGGACCTTATGAAACGTGTTGGCCTTAGTTTTCACTTGTGAAAATCAGGGAGCAGAGGGCATGCAAATTTGGCTCAAAGGCCCGGTTTGGTTTGCATAGAGATGAGCTACAAGCCCTAAAAACTTCTATGGTTGATGCACAGCCAGCACTGACGACAGCGTCTAGGTAAGAGACACCACAGGTCTTAGGAGAGACAGGTTCACAGGGAGAAAGAGCCCTGAACAGGAAGGCTGTCTTTCCTCAGCGGACACCTTACAGTGAAGATCATGGCACGCGATTGTGAGGCACCCCACTGAGGCTACTGCCATGCCAGCTAAAGTGTGTTGTTTCCAATTGCAACCTTAGGAACAGGGGACCACTCAGGGAAGTAACACTTAATATGCAGATGACAAAAATGTAGCCAACAGCAGCAGTCCGGACTGGTACTTAGGTAGGGCTGGATCTCTAAGTCTGTACTCTGTTCTATTCTGTTCTTTGCTGGTGGATGAGCAGGGTTCCAGCTGTGGTAACATCCAGTATGGTAAGAGATATATTTATTTGCTTGGGTTAAGGCCTCACCATAGAGCCAAGGCCTCAGATTTTCCATCCTGCCTCAGCCTTTAGAATTCTGAAATATCAGGTGTGCAGCACAATGCTGGGCTTGACCCAGTAGGATTTTAGAGGATACAACTTGGACGTCCTAACACTGGAGCACTGTGATTTCTTCTTAGGACATACTTCATTGTTAGGTGATAAACCGGCACCTTTATAGATAAGGAAGGCATTTAAAATGTTTAGAGGAGTAATCTAGAAACATCACAAATAACATTCTCTTTTCTGTTGCGATAGCTGCAGCGTTTAGTAAACACACACGCACACACACGCACAAGCACAGGAGAGAGAGAGAGAGAGAGAGAGAGAGAGAGAGAGAGAGAGAGAGACTGACTGACTCACAAGCTTAAGTAACTGCCTCTCCTGGCTCCATTACAGTAAAAAGACCGTGCTCAGCAAACCCTGGTAAGAGGAAGTTGTTGAATGACACGGGGAGGTGGTGCTGTCCAGTTAATCTTCAGGCTTTGTGCTTCCTAATGTATTTGTACTCTTGGGGAACTAATGCTCAGAATGGGGTCTGGACAACCTTGAATTCTGAAGTCGCTTGTGAATGGTACAAAGACTTCAAAAAGCAAGCTTGGTTTGGTTTAGACCTAAGCATTTCCTTAAATCAGTTATTAGCTTTTGGCTTTTTTTTTTTTTTTTAAACTGTGTTTTTCGGAAGAGTTATAAAGACCCAGTGCAGTGTGGCTCCGGGCATAGTTTGATCAGAACTAGACACAAGAGTCAAAATTTGTACCTTTCCCCTTTTTTAAAGGCGAAGTGGAAAATGGGAGCCTCAGATCGGTGAGCCTCAGGGTCCATTTTCTTTGCGGCGCCAGGAGAAGCGGCCGGGCGGGCCGGGAGGGGCTGGGGCTGCAGCGGCGCCGGGGCCTCGGAACCGGGTCAGGCCCGGCAGCCGGGCCGCTCGCGCAGGCAGGGTGGTGGGCGTGGAGCTCGGTGCTGCTGCGGCAGCTGGTGCGCAGCCTGCCGGGCCACCCGACTCAGCTTGATCTCACTGACCCTTCTCTGCGTCTCCCCCCACGGCTTCCTCTCCTACCGCCGCCCTCCGGGATGACGGGGCGCTCAGATTTCCTCCCGCCAGCCCCCGAGATGGGTTTATCAACAGTGACTCATCTTTAAATCCTGTTCTTCACCTGCGATCGCCCTGCGAACCGCAAGAGTTGCCACTGCAGAGAACCGAAGTCCTAGTTTTTCATCAATTAAAGCAATCTATGATTAGCCTTTGATGAGCGACCTGCTTTCCCAGGGTTTTTCATTTGGAACTTTATTTAGGGACACGGAGACACAGAGTAGAAGGGAGCATTGTGTCTCAGGCTTCTCAATCAGAAAGCTATGAATAAAACAGGCCTACAGTCATAGGCACCGAATTGTCATGTGCCTTATAATTAAGTAGCTTTATAAGCACATGAAACTGTTTAGTACTGGATGAGGCTTCTATAAGACTTTTGGTGTTTGCTGTCTTTATGGTCTCTTAAAGTCTAAATTTGAAGATAGTTGCTGGATTCCTATTCAACCTTATTTGTCTTTATATTATCAACCGTCTTCTAAAGTTATTTCATGTTATGGAAATGTCCCCTATACCCTTCATTTTAATTCCATTTCCTAGAGCTCCATCTTATAAAGAGCAGGCCGTGCAGCGGCAATTATTTCTAGAGTAACTGCCCTGAAGTTCTTTCTCAGACAGGTCTTTAGCAGAGATTGAAGGCTATTGATTCGCATAATTTGTATCCAGCTGCTTCCTTTTGGCCTTGAAGGTCTGTGGATGACTAGCATTAGCCAAAGGAAATAATTGATACTTGCCTGGATGTGAGGTGACCAGTTAGACTGGTGATGACCCATGGCTGTACACCAAGGCCTTCCTTCATTTCCAAATTAAAAATCCTAAAGGGCGCAAGGATATCTGGGCATTCCTTTATCGCATGCAACAGGTTCACGGCTTAGCCTTGCTCTCACTCGGAACAGTTTTTCTGTTGATGTGAACTGAGAGATTGCTCCTGTGGTTCTTTCAAGGTCTGTCTGTGAGATCCAGAAAGTCGCCGGAGTCCTTATATAGAGCAAGGGTCTTGCAGCTCCCAATCTTGCCTCAGTCTCTAGGCGCTCGGACCCTAAGGGTGTACCACCAGACCGGGCAGATGAGGTCATTTCACAAGGCACAGTATCGAAATGAGATTATTTTATAAAAAGCAAACAGTTGTTCCTTGAGCATGCACGCCGGCTTAGTACAGCAAATCTTTTTAAGGAATTCATTTAAAGGAAGGTAATAATCTTATGATAAAATGTCAACCATATTTGTTACCAATAAGCAGTGTCCTGGCCTCAACCCCCCTAACTAAATAATCTCCCGATTAAACAGTAGGACTGAAGCCAACACCAGAAGCTCCTGGTCTAGTGTACAAATCAGAGAGACTTGACCCTGCCATCCCTTCTCTCTGTTGAAAAAGCCAGTCCTAGTGGTAGGCACCTACTCATTATTTCCGGGGTCATCAGTGTGTACCACAATATTTTTAACCTTTTTTTTTTGTTTTGTATTTTCTATAATTTGAGCACTTGACCTGTTTCTAGGCTTATTTGATATCTATCCAATGCACAGAACAAATTAAATGTAGAAGATTCGGTCCCCCTGGTGCCTTTGGGGTAGTCCATTGTCAAGAAGAGGCTAAGGTCCGGCTTGGTGTAGAATCGCAGCAGGTTCTGGCTGTGTGCTTATTTCCGCGGCCTGGCTGTGCTGGAATAAAATCAGATTGAGAGTGAATGTTTAACTGCGCAAGTTTGCAGTTTTCCCACCTGTGGGCTTGACTAATAATACATAGATTTTAGGGGAAGAACAATTTAGATCGCCTATCTTAAACAGGCATGCTGAATGCTGAAGGGCTGTGTGGATATTTATTATGATAATAATAATTATAATGATTGTTCTGTTTCTAATCTTTTTAATTTCTGTATGTCATTAACTATGGAAGGGGCTCATTAGAATGTTCAAAATGGTGCTTCTGAAGCAGTGGTTGTCAACCTTCCTAGTGCTGCGCCCCTCTGATAGTCACGTTGTGGTGACCTCCCCCACCATAACATTATTTCGTTGCTACTTCATAATTGTAATTTTTGCTACTGTTTTGAATCATAATGCAAAATACCTAATATGCAGGATATTTGATATGTGACCCCCGCAAAAGGGTTGGGGCCTATAGGTTGAGAACTGCTTTTTAGTTTTTTAGAAACTGTGCTTTTCTTATAATTTAAAATGTACATATATATATATATATATATATAGAGAGAGAGAGAGAGAGAGAGAGAGAGAGAGAGGGAGAGAGAGAGAGAGGAACAACTGAGTCTTGTAGGAACATGTGACATCATACTATTTCCAGAGACTTTCATGACATCATTCAGGACTTAGGTTTGTTAATTTCCTTACACTTCAGTTTCTGTCCAAGGCTATCCTGAAATGTACAGTATTTTTAAAAGAATAATTTGGAATTTTTTATGTTTTTGGAAGAACTCTGCTACAGTCATTCTGGTTTTTTTTTTTTTTTT